TTATGGGATATCATCGCCAAAAATTATTTCAGAAAGTGCTAGTGCTAGTATATATAGGAAACTTCAAACAATATCAGCGATGATATCCCGTAATTAATTTATAAATACTTGGAATATGAGTGAAAACATAGTTACTAACTATGCTGTAACACATGTCTTTGTACGTGCCATTTGCAAATCATTTCCTTTACAATGACCACATTATATTTGTTATTGACGTAGGCGCTGTACAATGTATCCACGACATCGACACGAAGCCCCGAGGAAGTAATCGAGGAAATTAAACGAGTCTTGGAGGAAGCTGACATTCTTTATAGACAAAAAGGGTAAATACGTAATAACATCCTTTCTTTTTTACTCCCCCCCTTTCTTTATCCAATTTCCGAGTTTGTTTTTGTCATATCATTATTTTTTGTTTCTTTCTTTTCTTTTTCTTTTCGATTCTTCTTCCTCCCGTTTTGATTCCCTTTTATTATTCCTCGTTTCCTTTTTTTCTCCACCTTTCTATTTCCCTGTTCGTCAATTAACGTTTTCTTCCTCTGCCCCTACTATCATTGATCGTTTTCATTTTCATTATTTTCTTATTCTTATTCTTACATTCCTATTTTGTTTCCTTTCTCCTTTTCCCGTTCCGTAAGTATTCTTGTTTTGTAGATACAAATTCGGTGCTCTACTCTCTCTCTCCATTCTTCATCTCACGTTTTAAAGGATTCTTCTCTTTTCTCTCTCTCTCCCTCTCATTTCCTTTCACTATCTTATTCTGTAAAAATATACTTGGCGTTCGACTTCTTGATGCATCGTTATGTCTTTTATTGTAGTTATTCACTACGATGTAAAACGATTGACAATCGAGGCAAAGTTATCCTTGAATTTGAGATGGAAGTCTGTCTTATCCCCAAAATGGATCTAATAGGTATGTATAGAAGTTGATTGCTCTTGATTTGGAATTCCGTTATAGATTTAAAATGTACTATTAGGTTCTATTCTAATTCTATTTGTAACCGTGTTGATTTTAGGAATTAGCGGCAAAAATGCTAACTATCGTGCGAAAGGAAAACGTGTAGCGATGCCATTTTGTAAAACAGAGCATTCTGGGAGATCTACTTCCCCACTGCACGGCTTGTTTTCGTAAAACAATTCAACCTAGTACCCAGGCGGTACTAGGTTTCTAGGCTTACATGACGCCACGCAGTTTCGCTTGCAAGGAATGCTTTGGTGCTAGGCTTCCCCAAATCCGTTTTAAGTCTGACAAAAAGCATTCCTGCATCTCCCAAAGAAAACAAGAAAACTTAKTTTTGTGGAGCATTCTGACAGCGCGAGAACTGCATTAACCGTCATGCTTTGCTTGAGAATATGGCGTCGCTACACATTCGGAAACTTGTGCACAGTCCCTCGCCATGTTAATGGCGGCAATGCAGTGATAAAGTTTTATATTGTTGTTGTACCACAGGTATCAGAAGAAAGCGGATGAAAGGAGACACTTGGGCCTACAAGAAAATCTGTGAAAATCTTTTAACTGCAGCTCAAATATAACAAATCAAGGTGATTCAAAATAACGGCAAAAGTTGGTCATGAATTTAATGTAGAGAATATAACTGACGAACACTTTTTTGAATTCAATTATAAGTTTAAATAAT